GGTGTCATATGTCGCGCGTTCGCTCGCTGCGCGCCGTTCGCCCGCTCACCGCTCCCCGTTCGCCAGCGTCTCTCATCGATCGATGCGTGACTCCACCTCTCGCTATCGGATCTTGAGAGATGTCAACAAATACACCATTTTGCATGTCTGCCGAGTCCGGCCTTCCGCTCCTCCGTGCACTTATTGGCTCAGACGTTTTTCTTAATTACGCGATAATAATTACGGATTTTGTAAAATGGTATATAACTTTTCTTCTCAGTTTGACCCAATCTACTATAATCTTTGGAGTGATCCAAATTGAATCCGACACCCTGTATAATTCTTCACCAATGCTTGGATCGAAAATGTCTCAAAAAATGTCTCGTCGAAGAGTTAAATGTCGTTGTCCGTTTATAAAGCAGCAATGCAAAGGTTCGGTAAGTTTCGCACGTTGGAAAACGGAAGATTAAATCCATCCGCGAATGCGTACCTCTGCACCATGGATTGCAGATCAAGTAAAAAGGACGATCCATCGTGAAACTGACAGCACCCTCCGATTCCTTGTTCTTGGTATCGATGTCCATTTTCCACCTGCCTATAATCGCGTTTGCGGATGTCACAACCTGAAGACGACAGACTTCGTTAGCGCTAGAAGCCACTTCCATCTTAATTCTTCCATACGCGCATGCTTAACGCCCCCAAATTAACGAAGACGTGTGTCGACGATTTTAATATTGCGAGATATCACTGATTCAGTACGCAAATTCGCTTACTTCAAGTCCATTTCACCTTAAGAGAAGAGCTTCAATTATAATATAATTATATAACTGTTTCGTATTAAAGTTACTGTGCCAAGCATGTTGAAATCGCATTCAGCAGCGAGATGTCTCGCAGGATCTCTGCATTTCAGCAACGCTCGCGACTCGCCTTTATCCTCAAGAAATTTGGTCCCCTGGCATCTATGGTGGTCTGCCAGGCAGCCTCGGAAATCTCCCCGGGATGAAGCAGGGCGGTTGCCACCAGTGTCCCGTGTCCATGCTGCGGTCTCTGGACGTCATCCAGAGTGAAGACGACAGAAATACCGTCGATGGAAGAATTATAGTCTCGAGATAGACTGAGGTGCAGATAAAATTCCTGGCCACGTCTAACGACGAGTCTTGCTCCGTCATCCTGGCGGGTCATCAGCTCGTATCTGGATGTCCGATGATTCTCGCCGTTCTCTTCGATGCAAGGATCTACATTGTGGATCGTCAATACTGGAACGCCGAAATCCTCCCCTGTCAATGGCAGCGTTCATAAAAATTACGAACCATTTTACACAAAAATGTGAGAAAACGACCAACGAAAGAGAAAGCTGAAAGTTATTGTTAATTCCGACGAAGGTAGCGATATTAGACAATAATTAAATAACAAATACTTGTCTTAGGGTAATTTTACATTGGCAGAAGCATCTTCAATGATTGAGGAATCGCTGGACTAAATTTTGATAATGTAAATAATTAAATTCTTCTTCAAGTGCATTAACGTAAATTAAATTAACTCTTTTTCCGACCAGATTAAATTCAATGTCGAATACGGGTTGCAGTTCGTGCCTCATTTCTTTTTCTATGCGATATTGTAATCGTATATTGTCATTTATAATCCATAGAGAACGCGAAGGACTCACAGTAGAATCTGAACGGAAACGGTCGGGTGCGCCGATCGTTGAATATCCGGTAGCGATCGTAGAATCTGTAAAACATCCCGCGGCGGTCCGGGTGCATCGGGTGCACCGGCTGCGGATACGAACGAGAGGCAGGATACATGGGCGAGGAACGCGTCGGACGCGAGTTCACCGAATGACTGAAGAATCAACGACAACGACGAGGAGGAAGGAAGAACGTGCAGCTGAGGTGGGCCGCTGCATTCTAGGAGCAATCTCAAGGACGCGCTGCAACGTCGTGCGCGACCATACATGGCGTCATCGGTGACACCCGCTGTCAGTAGGAGTCACCCACTTTTCGTTCCCATAAATTAGTCGGCGATTTATAATCGCGGCCGAGTTATCGTGCATGTCGATTAAAAGCCCATTATCCTGATTTTCTTGAATTACGTCTAATTAAGAGATATTTCAATAGGGGATTGCAAATCTGTTTTCCTACAACACCAAGAAGCTTCATATGATATTTTAAGATTTAACGATAAAACTTGTTTATTATTAGTATCCAGTAGCTTTATTAAAATGTGACAATAAAGTGACGAGTAAAATTTTATTTTACGAGCTAAAGATTCTGATGGCTATTATAACGCGATTAGACTATAAAAAAATAAAATTAAAGTACTATACATATTATAGAACTTTTATTCGAACTGTGATATACATATATTATTTATCCAAAGTTTACAATAGCATAATTGTGGGGATTTATGAGTTGTAATAAAAGAATGACACGCCCTTGTTTTTAATATCTCAGCCATGAGATGCAATTTGAAAAATCATACTGTCGTCATTCTTAACATCTATTGTTCTCACAACTAGTCCGGGGATATATTTGTAACTTACGAGTTGCAAATACCAAAGCAATGATTCTCTTCTACAATGACAGCAACCAGATCATTCGGTTTAGCAACATCAGCCTGAGATGTTAAACAATTACAAGATCGTTTCTTTATTTAATTTCTTATTAATTTATGACTTTTAATTTCAAGAGTTGCCTTCTCTTGAATTTCGCAAACTTGGCCTCTTATTTGGAATGTATAAATGTTTCCTTGAGATAAAATTTCGCAAGTCTTTATTTAAATTGCCCTCGACGAATTGATTCCGATATCTGCAAAGATGCAAGCGACGTAATTTCGTATTGCACGGTCATCTGTGTAATCAATTTAATCACGTAGACCTACATTCATTAATTATACTCATTAAAGGGAAGTCATTAAAGCCGGGATTTAGAAGAAAGCGGCGTTGGTCGTTTTCGAAATCTAGAAACAATCGATTCCTTAGAAATACAAATTAGAATGGTAATTAATGATCAGAAAAAACATCGATCATTACCCTGGAATGCGTAATAACATGCGGTCGTACAAGATTCTCGCATTTAAATTACCACAATAACACAAGCGGTAATTAAGCTTCACTATCTTTGTGAGATCGCGCATTTCTTGCCATCGGATCTTCGTACGACTCATTCGTTTCAATGTAACGAGCTCGTTTTTCTTCGAGAACACTTGTAAGAAGAAATCACTTTATCACCGCCGACTTGCGATTTCCATTTCGGTTGACGTGATACGATTCAATTCAGTGAAACGGACGTTTTGTAGAATTTCAGGTCAACTAGAGAGACCGAGTCTCACCGTTTAGGAAAGACAAGGCAGTGCACCATATTAGTCAGGCCGACCTATGACAATTACGCGCGACTTGAAAGAGTATCCTTTATCGATAGTTCTCCGTCCTTGATTTACAATCAGTTTTTATATGACACCGTGATAACTTTTGATTCGTACACTGAAAAAAAATCTGATAGATTCAACCAGTCCGTTAGAAAATGGACGAATCAGAATTCCTTTAGGATTTACCATAGCCAGAAATTTGCTAGACTTCACTACAAATCTGGTAAATCCTAAAGGAATTCTGATTCGTCCATTTTCTAACGGACGACTGGTTGAATCTATCAAATCTTTTTTTTCAGTGTACCCTCTAAAAGTCAATCATTGGATTATCACTAAAAACAGTGAACAGTCACTGATTTGCAGGTATAAGTAAACCATTGCGATTTTTAAAGGTTATACTTATAACTGCAAATCAGTGACTACTCACTGTTTTCAGTAATAATCCACTGATTGATTTTTAGAGAGTACACTTCCCAGATAGCACACTGAATTCACAAAGTATTCTTTAAGTTTTCTTTTTTCTGAATTGTAATTCTGTAGGAATTCATAGAAGAATACAATAAGAGTGACAGAGGAAGTTACATGCACCATAAATCGTTTTCCTGACAACTTCTTAAAGTATTCATCTCGAATTCAATAAATGTAAATTTTATGAATTCAAGGGGAATAGCGTTAGAACAAAGAGGATTACAAAATATTTACCCAATGTATGTACACATCTAATATGCAGTAACATTACACCATTATTATAATTTCTTACTCAACAGTGAGATACTCTCAACCGAAGCTCGTTGACAATCGGGTGATTCTTTCGTTTCGGTTCTCGTCGTTCGATTCTTTCTTTTACACAATAGAACTATTGCACAAAATTAATTGTACATAACGTTACGCACACAAAATATTGCACGTGGTAACACACTGCACAAGAACGTCCGGATGGCGGTTAGCGGATACTCGCGCATGACAATTAATTCCTCATAAATTCTTAAAGTATTCACAGTACTGAATCGCGAAGTATTCATTATAATGAACTTCAGAAGAACACTTCAAGACGAACTGATTGAGACTAATTCTTCAAGAATTCTTCAGATATTCATTTTTCTAATTCTGTATGTTTTCTTTAAAATGAATTCTCTATGAACTTATGTTCATCTTTGTGCTATCTGGGTTCTAGCGCCGACATATCGTCTTTAAAGCAATTGATTGGCGCTATATTACTTTTTGCCTTAGCCGAGTGCGAGATATTGCTTAAGAATTTGAATTATATCTGATGCAGATTGTTATTTGAAGAGAAACGAAATTTCACACTGAAAAAAATCTGATAGATTCAACCAGTCTGTTAGAAAATGGACGAATCAGAATTCCTTTAGGATTTCCACCAGAAGTGTAGTTAAGTCTAGCAAACTTCTGGTTATGAAATATCTTTCATGGTAAATCCTAAAGGAATTCTGATTCGTCCATTTTCTAACAGACGATTGGTTGAATCTATCAGATTTTTTTCAGTGTAGGAAGAAGGGTAGACGCGGTAGAAATGTTTTAATTAAGTGAAAACATTTTAAGCCGAATATTATTGTACTGTTAAACGTTGTATCTTAGCGTACGATTTTAATATTGCGACAAGTAACTGACTACGTCAGACGGAATCACAATTGTCGCGTTATTCAATCCGCAAATAACAATATGCGCTCCATTTGTCATTGTAATCAGCTTACTTCATCGGTCTTAATACGAAAATGATGGTGTTCAAATGACTCAGTCACGAGATACATATCACGGACGTGCGTACATACATATCCACAGGGTTGGGAAGTAACTCGTTACTTGTAACGAAGTTACAGTTACAGTTACTTCTTTTTGGTAACTCTAACTTAACTTCGTTACTTTCTCTACATTTGTAACTGTAACTTAACTCAGTTACATTTTTTCGATAACTAGTAACTAATTTAATAGTTACATTAATAGTTACTTTATATATTTTTTCAACCTCCACAGATCGCATTAGGCCTTGCATTTGCGCATAAACGCCTTTATTGCCACTTTACAATTCAGATGCAGATTCGATAATTTTATTTCTATTGCAAGGGAGTAACTGCAAAGTAACGATTCGTTACTTTTCGAGTAACTGTAACTGTAACGCGTTACTTTTCAGAATTGGTAACTTGTAACTGTAACTAGTTACATTGTTAGCGAAAAAACTGTAACTGTAACTAGTTACTTTTATAAAATAACTTTCCCAACCCTGCATATCCAATATACAAAAAGGCGTGTTAAGTCAATAGTCGAAAGTCTCGAAGTATTGTTGTCGCTTTTCCGAGATGCTGATTGGGTGTCTCGCTTGTATACGATACGTTATTTGCAGCTGTCAAATGGCCATGCGAACTTTTAGAGAGAGCAAATGGCGCGCGCAAAGCGCGCGCTTGTGTCGTCCGGTTGTTACGAAAATAAAAACTCGATCGACTGCGCAGGATGCACCAAATTGAAATTACTTGCTGTCGGTCGTTTCTTTTCCGGCCAATTTAAAACTGAGCTCTTTTTCGGATAACGTCTTCGGATGACGGGGTCTTAGTGTAAATTCAAAATTAAATAAACGGTAAAACTATTATTTTTTTTACAATTTGCAAATGCAAAATGTATATTTTGTTCTACGCGACAAGCACGACAAAACACGAGCAGTTAAGACACGGAAGGACGCTCGATGCATTTTCTGCGTCGATTCCTTCCGAGTGTTGCAATTAGAATTCCTATCGGGATCACGTGTCTTGCATTGAGAAAAAAAACACGGAGCGGACGCTCATATCCATGAGAAACTCGATGCTCCGGTTATAGATACGCCTATACGTCGAGATATCTCAGAGATCGTACGAAGAGATGCGCCACCTCCTATGCGATAATGATATGTAAATCTCTGTTTGTAAGATTGAGAAGCAGAAGGATGTAAGTCCAGAACATGTGCCAAGCGCCTCGTGATTTACATGGAGGGAGATGAGTCAACGAAGAAAGTTATCCGAAAGAGCGTGACTTAACGAGGAGAATCCCTGATGAGGAGTCTCCAATGGGATGATCGCGAAAGCACGATCCGACGAAGCTTTCGTGACTAATCTTCCGGTCAGCTTGCGATCCACGAGGGAAAACGCCGAGGAATTTTATGGAATTGTGTCTCGCACGGTACTTCATAGAGTACAAATAATAATACGACCGTGTTGTAACACAGTGAACAGCGTTTTTTATAAGTGCGTCCGCTTTATGTTAATTCTCGAGCTTGAAGGAAGATTTTCATGTGCTAGTAAAATACAAAATATTCTTTGGTAAAATTAATTTAAAAAAAATTCTCAGTCGAGATGATTCGAATATATTTAACTTATTCATATACTTGGAGAAGAGAAGAGCAGCGATAATGCAGCCTCATATCGGCGAAAGTGACGTCACCGTTTAACGGTCACGGCACCGCGTCGCTTGCGTAATCTCACTCTCGTTCACGGCAACGAATAGTCACGCAGGATTAAGAGCCGATTTTGACAAGTCAAATTATGCAGCCGTACGAATTTCTTTAAAGAAAACGCGCGAAGTATCGACTTGTAATAATACACGCACACTTCCCAAGAAAGTTAGCGGATTCTGTGCATATGTACACTTCGGCGCATGATAAGTGGCACCTGCGTGACGATTGCCGGGTACCAATACTTAATGAATAATACTGCCGTTTTAAATGCACATAATTATAATGAAGGCCGGCGCCACGCGAGAGAGGCGGAAGCTGGACACTTCCCATCTGACCGAGTATATTTTCTCAAACGAAGCGCGCGCGCTAAATCGCGCGTGTTCGAACGAACAAATCGCGCGTTGTACCGACGGAATCCGCGTTTACTTACAAGTCGCGCGGCCGCGTGTTGGAATACAGAAACTTATAGCTCTACGCTGAGAAAACATGAAATAATGCGTAAACAAATTCAAGACCCCGCGGATATAAATCAAAATTAATAAAGAAGGCTATAGGAGTCGAGCACAGGTGGTCGCACGCAAGTGATGTTACAGAAATAATTACTACATAATATAAAGTTAAAAGACAATGAAGTAGTACAATATTACATTTGTATGTTTCGCCCGTTTCTTTAGAAAAATTTATTTTGTCGAGCCTATTGAGAGGAGACAAGACTTCCCTGATTCAAACGAAAACTTGCGAATGATATTGTAAGCTGAGCATTTTAATTGTTCTGTTTGTGTCGCTTTATATTATCATATTTTTTATTTGTACATACACGTTTGAATAGTATAAAACACGTTTGAACAGTATTCAAATATGGATGGGTATTTTTCATTTTTTTTAACTTCGTCTTTTTAATTAATTACAAGAAAATCATCGTTGCGCGATAAAGTGCAATCAAGTTGACGATGGTCAATTCGAGCGTATGAATAAGCAAATAAAGATCTTTACCCATTCTTATATCACCACTCATCCCATCAATCGTTTTCGTCGTTCGATACCTGTGTCACGATAATGAACCGCCTACATATCAAACTACCGGCCTTGTGATTTTTCTCTTCTCGAATGATGACATCATTCATTGCATATAGTCTAATGTCAGTTCTCGTTCGTGTTATTTACTACGCCAAAAAACGTTTTCTCGGCACGCGTCGCATAGAATTTACAGCCGCAACCTATCAACCTTGACCAATATTCTGAAAATAGACTTTAGGGCAAACCGGAAAAGCACTTTGCTTCTTGACTGGAACTGTTGAGATTGATTGACAACACAATTTAGTTATTCAACTCTTTACCACTGTATCTAAGTATTTTATGTATTCTACTAGAAAGCCCGAAATATCGCTTAATGTGTTTATTTAAAAAATCAATATCTTTAAGAGTCACGTAAAATATAATTAATTTTTTATATCGATTATTCTAAAGATTTTAATAAGCGAAACTCAGTCAAGTATAAAAACTTCGTTAGTTCAAGCGTTTTGATGAATCTAATCCTCTATTATTTAGCTCGTTTACAAAGAAAACACGATATATTTTCGAGAACAGTAATAAAATTTATGCATCGATAATTCAAAATGATTTGAAAACAAGATTCCTGAGCATTGCCAATAAAATCGAGGCATTCCGGTATTGAAGGAGTTAAGAACCGTCCTGCGATAATTCTCACATCGTTCGTTTACGTGGGAAGAGCAGGGGCCGTCGTTAAACGTTACGCCTCGCTGCTTTATTTGCATTTCGGCGAAGCACGTGCTCTCATTTACGACGACTTACTTTTAGGCGTATAATACAGGCCGCATTATTTTACGCGCTCGCGTGATTCATACCGCTGACGTTTGCCTATCTTATCTGTTTCATTAATTGATTTCCATCCCGCCCGCGCACGCGAACTCTGTCCTCAGAGGGTCAATTGTCTACGTGGTGTCAGATCAAATATGCCTGGGAATACCCGCCGCTATTGGGATTCACTTGATACGGACTCGCGTGCACTCGGATGAGGCATAGCAAGAGAAATCGCTCGGCGTGACAAATCCAATTATTGATTAAAGAAAATGATGTCGTATTTTCGTGGAAATATTACTCGTCATTCTTATATTATCCTGCGGTTTTTAATTAACTAGATAAATATGGTTATCTAATTAAGATTCATGCTCTCAAGCTCTCAAAGGCGTTACGTATATAATTTTCAGCATACTGTGGAACATTTTGACACAAAATTAATACGAAATGACGAAAAATCACGAAATAAAGAAGAGGGAATTAAAATGAAATAGCGACGAGGGGAAAAGAAGAAAAATATACCGTTGTGCATATAATAAAAGTAGTCACTTTTGTGCTTCGATTCTCACGAATTGCGTATGCGACAGCGACAATTACAGACAAATAATGTGACTTTCAGTAATTACAGACATCATACTAATAATAGTATATGCGTAATCACTTAACTTTTGGTATCTATAATTATATCCTCTGTCACTTCTCGGCAACGCGAAGTGAGTCGAGACTGAAGAGAGATCCGTAAAAATTTATTGACTCACGCGCCGGAAGCCAGCACACAAGAACCATTCGGGGCGGGGGTCAAGAAAGACGATATTCTTATCTCCCTTGCGATTTTTTAGCTCCTCTCTCTTAATGCGATCCAAACTTTCGGTAGATATGCAGATAATCGTAATCCCGCAAGAATATTTAGCTCGCCCCGGGAAAACATTAAGGACATAATCTATTCGAAAAGTTACTCCTGCCACGAACTTTTTAATCAGCATTAATAATATAGCGTTATAATTAGGACGTCTTCCTACACCCGTGTACGAATATACGATATTGCGGCATCAACATTAGCATAAATTACATTATAGCGCATTAACATAAATTATAGCATCTAAAATGTTTTCTTAAAGTGCCAAAATGTCTTTTGTTGTCAGTATATACACTCGACAATTAATTAAAGTACAGGATTAACTTACCAGGGGAAGTGGAAGGCGGTCGAGGTCTCTCGAAAGGACTATGCTGAGGCCTGAACACAGACCTAAATCCGGAGAGACATGAGCACGAACAGCACCTTTTCATCATAATTAGCTGCTATTCGTGCTACAACAGTTACGTGTGTGTCTTTGATATTATTCGTCAATCGTAAGTCCACATGTGTAAAACGTGTCTGATAAAATGTTCATTAATTTCCATCATTCTCTGAACTTTATAAACCGCTCCCGAATACCAGCATTTATGAAAAGTCCGCATCCGTCAGGCACGAAACTCTAAAAACAATTAAATAGTTGTAAAATTAGAAATGGTTAAGTAGCGTAACTGTTGCATGAATATAATTATTTTCTTCAAAGTTTGGCTAAAGTTTCTCTCGATTCGAAGAAAATGCGATACCTGATGCAGCGATTAAGTTTAAGCCTATCGAGTACATTCAATCAAAGGACGAACGGAATGGTTCAGAACAAGAAATTGATGACTTATTGACGCCCGTAAGAATAATTTTAATTATATCTTATCCTAATTCAAAGATAATCAATTAATAACGTATTGTAATAAATTGTCTATTTTAATAAATCTATTGCTATTTTGATAAACAATAAAATTTACAGAAGATTTTTGATAAACTTTGTTAATTGATGACATTGGAAAATTATTGTGAGCCACATTTTTACTAATTTTTAGTATGTAATAAAATTTTCACTATTTATCTTAAATAAGTATTAATAAATTCATTTATAAATATTACTTAATACTAATAAGTAAATAGTATTAATTTATATTAATTTTTAATGCATAAATTAATTTATTATCTCTCTCTCTCTTAATGAATAAATGTAACTTTCCCATGATTATAAAATTTCTTATGAAATATCTTAACAATAGTTTCGTACCTGCGAAATAATAATCTAAGGTATTTTTCTTTCACAAATGAGACTTTGCACGATACCACATTACTGTGCACATCCCGAGCGCGTGTATGCGAGGCGATTGAAGCAGCGTGTCGGTCTCCGTGTCGAGTTGTCGAGCGACTGTCAGTGAAAATCAGCTGCCATGCAGCAGCGAAGTAAACGATCTCCCGCCAGTCTTCAGTTAACTTTTAGATACGTTTAACAGTAATGATATGCGAACGTAGGCCTCTTTTATGCAACATTACAAGACACGCCTCTTTACATAGTAAAGTGGATGCTGCGTTAGTTAATGACTGTTCTGTAGCTCCTACGTATTTTTTGCTCGCCGTATTTCTCTATAATTTATGTTACAAGTACACGTAACACAAGTTTTCATCTAGAAAGATCGAGTCGCACGGGAGACTTTATCATCAATGAAGAATTGGTATCATTATTAATGCTTCCTAACAAAGTATCAATTCAAATATGTTGTTTGTCAATGGCATGAAAATTTTAGTTGAAAAGTTTAAGCTAAGTTAAATTAAAATTAAGTAAAAATAATTTTATTATTAAATTTATAATTAAGTAAAAGATTGAGGAAATTTGAGACAGTCAATTTGAATAATTTTGCGCGTGCAAAATTATTATTAAAAGTAACACAATTTAACGATTTAATATACATGTTAATATAATAAACGATGAGGCCTGTTCTACAATACGTCGTGTGTCGTAACGTAGCCGATGATCCAATGAGAAAATGTCTTTTTTGAAAATTCTTTTTGCGAAAATTCATGTTAAAAAAAGAAATGTTCTCATTGGACTATCGGCTGCGTTACGACATTCGACGTATTGTAGAACAGGGGCTCGATTCTTGAATTCATTCGCAGGAGAGTAACGTATGCGAAAATCTTGCTTTGACAAAAAAGTTGAAAGTCGACTGGTTAAAAGCCATGCGAATAGCCAATTGCTTGATCGACTTGCAACTTTTCTGCAAGAGCAGAATTTTCGTACAAGTTTCTCCTTCGAATGAATTCGAGAATCGAGCGCCTGGCCTAAGCGTGAAGATCAAGCAAATAATTTGACGTACAAATCACTACGTCGCGTGTGTATCGGTTAACAACTATTAACCTGATAAGACGTACACTAAGACAGACGCGCGCAGCGACGTGAGCAAATGATAGCGAGGATAATATATATTTTTAGCTCTCACGTAATACACCACGCAGGAATTTGTTCTCTGAATTTCGTAAGTCAGTTCAGTTTCCGTGGCGGAGTCGTGCCATGACGTTTATGAACTTATCCTATTACTATCTCCGTCAAATTTAGACTAGAAGCGCAAAATGATGACAATCCCTAAATAAACAGTCTCACAGGAACCGAGAAAAAGGGACTTTTCGCACAAAAGCTATTACACAAATACACGAGGTAAAAAGGAAAACTGAGACTTTTATTCCGGAAGGCTTAATCAGCTCTCATCCTATCTTGCTTAAGAGACAATAATTGACATTTAACAATCTTCTGTTATCAACACCGAATAAAGATGTGTATAGAAACATACAATAAATTAAAAAATTATATTATTTTATATCAAATTTCATTGTATACATATTTTAGTAACGCTATTTACAAGTATTAATTAAAGAAATTATTGCGCAATTATCGATTCATTCAAACTACATCGCGAGATGTCTCATTGCGTGATATTTTTGCAACAGCTCATAAACTGAGGCTACATTAGATGCTGCGTTATCAGTATATCAGTTACACCTAGTGATTATCCAGTAACAAGTTGAAATCCATCGTTGATCCGTTAGCTTGGTGCGTTTTAGACGTATCTTGATTGTCCTCTACCACGATCGTTCCGACATGATTCACCGTAACGTACAGGTATGAATATTCGTAGCCACCGGACGCGTTCTGAAATCACAATTGTACATACGAGCGCACGTGCGAGCAGACACAATTCTCGATCGCAAGCTCGCGGGCTTACCTCCTTCACTTCCGCGTACACCGTCCCCTGCCTTCTCGTTCCTTGCACGTAAAATCTCAGTCTCATATACTTGACGCCATCCTTGACGTAATACAAATGCCTGGGGGAACAAACGCAGACCAAATGTCAGTTATACGTTGCGAAAGAACGGCGGCTCGGAAGATATTCTCAAAAATCTTGAATCTCCAAGTCACGACGTCGCAACAAGATTCGCGCGCGTACGAAGTATATTCAAGATTTCATAGAAAAACACAGCGGAAAGTTTATCCGGTCATACGTGATGTGTCTTCTACGTCCACGACGAGTCTCTTCTCCAAAGGCCTTCACAGGCGCCCCGAGAACATCCATGACCTTCGGATGTTCCATGCAACGGACGCGAGCCTCGCTGTAAACAGCATACGGGCTGCTGCTGGAGAACAGCTCCGAGCATAAGGTATATATTATCAGGGCCGTAACACCGATGCCACCGACTATTACTCCGAGGTATCCGGCGGATTTCAGGTTTTCCTTAACTGAAAGGAAAGTAATGGAGATGCGATCGTTTGTGCCACGACAATGCATAGCGTAGACCGTGCGAAATTTACCTACTTCTGCAGTGCCAACCTGTACCTGATTATTGGTTTCATTGGAGTCGACCTTGCTCACGGATTTCTTTGTCGAGTAGCGAGCACCGTGCCTAGTGCAGGGACCAATACTGAAGCAGTACAGGGCACTTGACATATGAGTGATCAAGTGTCTCCTCTGAAGAATGTGGTTCAACGCTCTCGCCATATTCTAAAATACAAACATGTCTTAATAACGCAATAAAAGTAGGAGCAATATGTACACGTTGAATTTTACAAGAGCTTCTCTCGCTTTCTTAATTTAAGGTTAACCGGTTCTTTGCCGAAAGTCTCGGCGCGCCGGTGTAAAAATATGTATACAGCGCGCTGTTGTTCCACTCAAGTTACATTATCCTCTCATTATTGTTAACGCTTACACAATATAATTTACGCACAAGGAAAGGCACCGCCGCATACTACGATTGAACAAACGGACCCTCGACGCGAGCTGATTCGCTCCGGAACGTGAAGCGTGGCGGCTCCCAGAAATTCCCTATTTCGCGGCCATGTTCGGCGAGATTCCCGAAGGAACGCGAGGTTGAGATACCGGCTTAAAATTGGTGGACGGTGCCGCGGGATTTACACCGAGCCGGCGGCGCCGATTGGTCGCGGCTGCGACCAAAACAACCGTCCCGCTGTCGTTGTCGTCGTCGAGTTTTGACGCGGGAGGTTAGGCGGCAGGGAAATAATTGATAAAAACGGAGTTCCTCGAACTCTAAGTCGCGCGCAGACGGAATTATTGATGAAGACACCGCACCAGAGACTGGTCATGGTTGGCGATCGCGACGGGTAAACGCGCAATTATGCGATTTACATCGAAGCCGACATTGACCCTTGCGAGCAACGCGCTGTGCAACGGACGGGATGTCAGGGATAAATGTTAAATATTCCAAAGTGCTGCGAAGGCTTTCGCGAAGAAAATATGTAGGAGGGAGAGAGAGAGAGCCAGTGCGAGCCACAAAATGAACGGAACTCGGTTCTCACAATGTAGAATCAAATTTCTCTCTAACAGCACAAACGTTTCGACCCTTCTTCGGGTCTTCCTCAGTAAAGAAAAGAAACTACAATGAGATCATCGAGAGTACAGGACGAGAATACAGTAAAACGTATAATACAAGGTTCAACAAGTATAGTCAGTTATCTCGTTTAGACCGAACAGAGAGCATAAGGCCAGTATCTTAGGGGATCAGTGCGCTATGTGACTTCAGAATCGCTCTTCTGTCTGTTAATATCGGCGAGTCTCCAAATGGTCCCAGACATAAAGAGGACTTGACCCTTAAACTGATGTCGAGTCACACTCGACATAGGAGTCTTTGCACTCCTATGTCGAGTGTGACTCGACATCAGTTTTTTATCTCAGGAGCTTCTTTGTCGAGTCTCGCCTGACATTTTTTCAAGTCCAAACCAATAGACGAAAATAGATGAAATATAATTCGGAGTGCAAAGGGTTAACACAACTCAGAGGGATGAATCCGTAAAGCCTGATCTACAATGTGCTCTCTGCGTCTAGAAACATTCTATTCTGTAGTCAATGAATACGTTTAAAGAATTTGTGCGAGTTGATAAATTGTGTATTATACATTGCATAAATTTGTACATGGTTTTCAGATCATTTTAAGCGGTTTGATTTGTTTATGTAAAATAGAATGTTTCTGGATGCAGAAAGCGCATTGTAGATTGGGCTTAACGATGGTGTTAAACGACTGTGACGCAGCATTAGGTGAAACTTGATGATGATAACATCGGTGATTTTTATTGACCGTATCTGGCAATTTTAGTAATACAGCAAATGTATTGCGACAAACTTTACCACGGCCAGGGTTTGAACCTGGACTTCCCTACGCTCTAGGCGGGCGTCTCGACCGATTCGACCACCGAGGCATATAATAATAATAAAGTGTTGTAAGCGTGACAGGAGAAAATTATGAAGTCACGTGTCTCAACTTTACAGAACAACAAAAGGCGCAAAATTCAATTTATGTCCATTAGCTTATTGTCCTAATGATAGAAGAATGACTCTGAAAGTCACATAGCGCACTGATCCCCTAAGATATTGCCTTACGCTTTATTCGGTCTAAACGCGGTAACTGACTGTAACTGTTGAACCAATCTGTGTTATACGTTGTACTGTATTCTCATGCTGTACTTTCGATAATCTCATTGTAGTTTTTTTACTGAGGGAGACCCGAAAAAGGGTCAAAACGTTAAGCCCGTATCAGACTACGGATTGAGATTGAGATCAGATTGAAATTTGACCAATCAGAGTAAAAGTTACTGAACTTAAGATTAGTAAACTTTACTGTGACTGGTTAAATTTCAATCTAATCCCAATCCCAATCCGTAGTCTGATACGGGCTTTAGTGCTGTTAAAGAGAAACTTGATTCTACATTGTGAGAACCGAGTTCCGTTCATTTTGTGGCTCACACTGGCACTCCCTCCTTTCTACACAGATCTCAAATATTAGAAAAGAATAAAGTACAAGACAGATATAGGAGTTGCGTCATACAATCGCGGTTGAAAATATCAGTTCCAACTCGTGAGTTTAAACGTAGATCTTTAGTATTCATTTCTAATAGTTTCTATATTGTGCAGAGTCCGACTCTCGCGGGACGAGACACATTGCGCGAGCCTAGCCAGGACTTCGGGGACTTAAGGGATTTAAGGGAAAGGTTTCCCCAGACCCAGTCGACACTAAGGGCCAGTTTCACAAACGTCGTTTAACCGCTAACCCATGGTTAATTGATCCTCTGTCTCTTCTTGGATAACAAGATGGAGAAAGATAGGAAGTCGACTGAACTCTGGTTAACAGTTAACCGACGTGTGTGAAACTGGACCCAAGTGCCACCTGTTCACAAGTCCACTTGTCCGCAGACTGAAAGAACTACTGAGACGCAGGCTGGTGGAGTGCGGCTGGCGGGACCAAGTGAAGCTGATCTCGAAGGAGATAATAAAGGAGCACGGCCACGACATCACCTACGACACGCTGCTGTCCGCGGTGACCAGCAAGGCCCGCACGCTCGTGCCGGACTCGGTGAAGAAGGAGCTGCTGCAGAAGATAAAGAATCAGTTGCTGGCTCAGGAGGAGAAGCTGAAGATCATGACGGACCGTTAGGAGTCTCGCTCGCGTTGTCGCCGAACGTTTTCCCACGGGCGCAATGCGCCGAGTATCGCCGAAGCGACGAACAAATGACACTCTCCTAACGATTTATCGTGCGACAAGGTGTAACTGTTACGTTAAGCCGCATCTGAAGCGCAAAAGGTCCGTGTCGACGATGCTAGAACTCGGCCCAAGTTCTAGTCCCGAGAAATGCGTGGCCAGTCGACTTGCGGCTTTTACGGAACAGCTGCGAGCTGATTGACCACACATTTCTCGAAACTGTAACTCGGACCGAGTTCCAGCATCGTGGACGCAGGCCTTGAAGTGGCGCCAAATGTGATATTTAACAAGTGACTGGTGTATACACACGACAGAACTCTAACGGAACAGAATCTAATCGCGTACCCGAGATGAGTTGGGAGAGTATAATTTGCAATGACGTTTTTATACACACATGTATTCTCGAATGTACAAACGATACGAATAAAATGTGACTTAATTTCCTAAGTGAATTTAATCTGGCGGCTCCGACGTCACGTGGGAATAGACCGAGAGCACCGGATAATCGGGGCGGGTTTACCGGTCAATGGCGCTCGTCGCCGGCAGATGGCGGCACGTCGTGTTTCCGACGATGAAGCCAGAGGCTAGAGGTTAGATTCGTGCGGTGGTGACAACAACCGCGACAGTGCTTTTGCGTATTTGCAGGCCTCGCACGTTCTGTCGTCCCGTCTTTCTGGTGGTGTCGGAGAGCCGCTCCCGGCCGGTGATAAACGCAGTCGTTAACAGTCGAAAGATGCTGATCAAAGTGAAGGTAATGACGCGCGCCGGTCCCGAGCGCCTCGGTGCCGAGATTCGCGCCGGCACGACACGCCGTAGCGCTTACCGATCACGGTTTTTTTTCCATTTTAGACCCTCACGGGGAAGGAGGCAAGTATCCCGAGCGTCGAACGGTTTCTGCTAGGCGCAAAATGACGCGCGCGTGAGAGCGCAGGAACGAAACAATCTCACGTCTCGGCTTGCGTTGCGATACGTTAATTGTATCTCGAGGAGCTCTAGCTTTTCCAAGTGGGGAAATTGTAGAGCTACGTTTCGTGAAAACGGACAAGTGGAAAAAAAGGTCGACCTCTCTTCTCGCTCGCGTCCAGGACAGCTTTTGTCCGTATTAGTCGGAGCGGAAGTAGTTGCGTTTGAATCTCCGCTTTTTTTTTCCACTTGTCGGATCTAGTACTAACGCCCGTAAAAACTGTGCATTAGCAGTTGAACGTCAATGATATAACGCCTGATCTTTTCAGATTGAAATAGATATAGAACCTACAGACAAGGTAGAGAGAATTAAAGAGAGAGTGGAGGAGAAGGAGGGAATACCACCGCAGCAACAGCGGCTAATATTTTCCGGCAAGCAGATGTACGTATCAAGTTTTACGGCCTTTAAGGCCAATGTCCACGATGCTGGGGCTTTGTCCAAGTTCTAGTTTCGAGAAACGTGTAGCCAATCAGCTCGCAGCTTTTATGGAATAGCTGCACGTTGATTGGCCACAGATTTCTTGAAACTAGAACTTGGACCAAGTTTTAGCATCGTGGACATTGGGCTTTAAGACTAATCTACAATGTGCTCCCTGCGTCTAGAAACATTCTATTTTGTAGCTAATGTATACGTTTACAAAATTTATGCAAGTTGATAAATTGTCCAGGTTCAAACCCTGGCCGAGGTGATATTTTTTCACATTAAATTTAGAATAGAATATTTAGACACTACCATCCTGTCACGGCTTTGAGTCCTTTAAACTCTTTGAAATTTGAGTTTAACACATACGAGCCTTACTTAATTTATTTAATTTATTTGATAAATTGTATATTATACATTGTATAATCATACATTGTTGACAAATTTGTTGAGCGTTTTGATCCGTTTATATAAAATAGAATGTTTCTAGATGCAGAAAGCACATTGTAGATTAGACTTTAGAGTTGTGCTGCGCGAGACGAGGCTCCTATAACTTGCGGCCACGTGTGTGGAAAAGTTCCTCGCGTTGGCCACAGTTTTAATAATCTTAATCTCCCGGTATGTTTATCCCTTTCGAACGGATCTCACTGAAGCGTGGTTTGAAGCGTGACGCGGCGTCGCGAGTAGCGTGATAAAAATTAGTTTCTCTCCAAATGTCCGTTGACAGACTATGCAGTTTTCTGTGACGTAGAATTGGGTATCTGCTCCGCAGCGATACTCCACCGTGGTCCTTGCGCTCGCGTTCCTTTAACAGCAACGTTATTCTCGGTGCAGTTTACGTTCAAGACTGCACTCTTGTTAAACGAAAGCGCGAATAAGTAATTACGCGATAAAACCAAAGTCACGTTTATCCAATTTTCTTCCAAGTCAGAATATAATATTCGAAGCTGGGACCCAACGCGAATCTTCGAAAAGGGAATTTGTTTTGTGTTAATGAAAGATCAGTTTTACTCGCGGAATTGTTGAGCTGGTCAATTAATGACAACGAAATGGTAAAATGTGAAAAATAATGAAATTCACAAGTGGTAAAATGTCGACAGCGTTTGAGAGAGATGTGTACGCTTGTTTCAGGAACGACGAGAAGACTGCGCAAGATTACAAAGTCCAGGGCGGTTCGGTGTTGCACTTGGTACTTGCGTTGAGAGGAGGCTGCAGATACAACATTCCTCATTTATAAACGGCAGCGAGGAGAATAATTAAAGAATTGCAAGGGCCACGGAAGGGGGAAAAAAAGGAAAATGTTTATCATCATGTACGTGCACTCATGAGTGACAAACTCTATGTTATTTTTAATAGAATAACATAGTCATGTGATCTTTAAAACCCTAAATAAATATTTAATAAAGTAATTTAATCATGAAAATGACGAGCGCGTACTTTCATTTAAAATAACTTCTCGCGCAGGGAGAAGAGGAGCATATACTAACCACTTTTCTCGTTCACTTTCTGTGTTCGCACTGTGCCATATGTATGTTTTACAACATTGAATATTGCACTGTGAAATTTTAGTTATTTGCGTGGAATGCAACCTTTTGAAAATATTTTATACTTGGGGAAAGAAAGCGTTATATCGTTCGAACTGTGTAATCTATTGTACAGTACATATTGTACATAATTTATATGTTTAATATAATCCTAATATTTAAATACAAATTATAACAAGTAAAATACAATAAGCGCAAAATATTATGTTGAAAACGTTGATATTTTCTGAAAAGTCATTTTTAGGAAATAATTTTGGTAGCAAAGAGAGTGGGACTTAATCGAAAATTGTTTCGTGACGTACAATTGCCATTTACAAAATTGAAAACTCCGTTTAAAGTGCATTTACCGAAAAAACAGAACTGAAAAACTAAAAAAATAACACGAAAGGACTGCGAGTAATCAATATTCCACGCATTAAATATATTTCGTCAACACACACTATTCTCAAACCGACTGTATTTTCTATCTAAATTTTCGTCACTCTGTGAAAAGTATAAACGTATCATTCATTTATTATTGGTTTAAAATTTTGTTATTTATGATAAATACTTACTTTTTATTATTCATACATTTTCTAAATGAAGTGCCTTAATGAAGAAGTAAAGAGACAAACGGAATAATTTAATGGTTTCACGTACATGAGGACAAGTGCGCTTCTCGATACTTTTATTCCTCTTAATAAATCAGGCTTAGTAAGCAATGCAAATTAAATTAAAGCTTAAGTAATTAATTTAAATCAAAGACACGTTAATATACAATAATGTACGATAATAATAGATACAATAAAATTCTAAATCTTTCTATGAAGTTTGTCGACAACTTCGGGGGGAAAAAACTGGATAAATGGGGACGAGGAAACAGAGCATTTTATTAATTAACGGAATCGCGCTGCTCGATACGCTAATACTACAGGTCGCAGGGGGTGTGTACTGCGCGCACAGGGGTTGGCGACGTTACGAGGGGTAGACGAGCCGTGTCGCGCCTCGCGGAGACGAGACCTCCGGTCAGTTTCTGTGGTATCTGCTGTTGTGCGTCGCCCGACTCCACTTGGTCTTAAAGACGCGCTGGCAGATGTTGCAGTAGACCGCGGAGTTCGGCGAGTCCTCGTGCTTGGACGTGATGTGCCGCAGTAGCGCGTGCTGCGTCGTGAACGTCACGCCGCACTTGTCGCAGCACGTCGTCGTGTGGACGTTCCTGATGACGTTCACCATCGCCGTCTTCGACGACTCTACAAATGCATTCCTCAGGTTTAACCAGGCCCCTGGGTCCCTACGTCCTAGGCTACCCCGCGACTCCGGTGCTACCGTTAGACACCGTAAAACGTATCGTACCTCCCGGCGGTACCAGCAAACGATCGCCCACGAGCGAGCCCTCGCAGAAGACTAGAATTCCGGCGAGTTCAATGCCGCGCGGACAGCAGAATCTTGTTCCTTCGTCAATTTCAAGTGAATTAAGAGAGTCTAAATATTAAAAAAAGAGGGGGGGGGGGAAGATCCACGATTCCAATCACAATTAATGTAGGAAATTGGGAGAACGTTTCTTCGCCGCCGACGGTCGCATAGTAGACACGCGGTTTACTAACGATAGCGAAAAACTTGAGAAAAGACATTCGTGTGTATTAACATCGACTCATCTCACGCAACAGACGTTACAATTAATTATTAGTTTACACGAGGATTAAATCGCATTCCCGGGATAAGATCATATGGCAATGTCCGCATTTAATCTCACTGGCTGCTTCTTTGCAAGTTGCATCGTTTCGTCGCCGACGACGTCCGTGCACTTGCAAGTGTCTTAGCAATTTATATTTCTGAAATCTGACAATTTAAATTTCTATTACCAGGCAATAAGATTCCCGGCAGGTTGTCATTACCTTGTCGCCCATCTTTCGCACACTTCTTTCGACGCCGTCGAAAGAAGCGGCAGCGGTGCGACACGACTCATTGAATTGCGATCATAAAATGAGTTCATTTGAGGAAACAATTAGAATAAAATAATAAGAATGCGTGAAACCGATGGAAGTGACCGGGGGAAAAAAATTAATGGGCGGGGGGGGAGGAAAATTTGTATCCATCTTTCTTCTGAAATTAATTCTTAATAGGTGCGTCTAAAAAATAATCGACGCATTGGGAATGGGACGCAACGCAATGTTAATTATCAAGCACTGATTCTCGGTACACGGGTGTCCATCAGAAATTCTTTTATTTACATTTTACTGCGATAACATCTGAAAGCGTAGTCTTACACGATCTTTTAATTAAGTTACAAGCTCACAATTATGATACCGAACGTAACACGTACCTGAATAGAGAACGCAATATTTTTTTTTTTTCGTGCTACCGACTGTGTCTCACGATATCTACGGTTAATTTCTAAACTCGCTGCAACACACGTCCGCTGTATTCATTTCAGAGAGAATTAACCCTTCCGCGCGGATAATCTTTTGCCGTTACTGTGAAACCACTTTTTTGTATGACTTTTATTTGAACACCACGGTAGATTCCGTCGGCCAGGAAGTCCGAAATTGTTGGCTGAAACTGCGTCTCGAAGGGTTAAACAGCTTTTTCTTTGCGACAGCGCGTTCTCGATATCGCAGCGTACAGAATGGCAGCACGTTCCACCCACAATGTTTCAAGCCCGATAAAGATACACGAACGATCTTTGTAGAGGAGCAAAGTGTAAAATTCATTCTTTCATTCACACAAATTATATTATATTTTCGAATCAATTTTGACAAAAGTCCGATGCAATATTGACGAATGCCGAAAGATTCTTTTCCGTTATATATTTTTATCGAGCCTAGAAATTTACAGGTAAAAAGTGTCGCATCCCGTACGCCGTGTATAAGTATATCCATGCCTTATGTATTCTTTATCGGTACTAAATTCTGCAAACTGTTACATCTCTCTTTCTAAGATAACTAATTACCTGAATCTTTGCGTCAGAACTTTTAACTTCGAACACGTCCGCGCAGACAGGGTCGCGTTTCGGGTGTTCCTCGTAAGACCGAGGGTCTCCATGAGGTTCATTTTACTGCGATTTGCGCAAACTGTACCTGACGTTACGTGCCCCAGCAATTTTACGTGTCCCTTCATCGATCATTTCACTTTTACCTCCGTCTATCTTCGCACGCCTCGTCCTACCAGTGGTACGACGCTTTTCCACTGCGTTGGCTGAAATTTTCTGCCCAAGTACGTTTGGCCCGATCCTTTCTTTTACTTTACTCGTGCATTTTTTTGTTTGTCAACCTGTACAATTTCTTACCATCGCAATACCTATCGCAATTTATCTGTTGCAGGGATACTTAAATCTCATTGCACCAAATCTTGTCTCTTACAATTTTATTTTTATTTTTATATCATCTAATATTTCTTTTACTTTTACAAGAAGAATATTATCTTACAAAGAATATAAAAAATTAGAGCATTTGCATACGCACGCGTATAAAAGATTAATATTTTTATACGTGCTGATGACTTCGGTAAGAAAGACACGAAGGAAAATTAACGAAATAAATTTTAATGCAAGAGAAAATATTGAAAAAAGGGGACAAATTGGTTTGACCGTGTACAACAATTTTGCCAAGCAACATTTCCGAATGTAAATTCAGATTAATTTCGCGGAGTTTGAGGATCCCTGACACAGTCTCCGCGATAGTCGCGTGTTGGATGCTTATGTGTTCTCACGTACGTAGCTTCGTATTAACCCATTAAGTGCCAATCGTTATATCACGTCGTTCTACAGCGTTTTGTTCAAGGGCGTTAAAAATTGTCACTGACTGCGTCCCGCGGTGCGATTCTCTAAACGGCAATTAATGAGTTAAATGAGGCAATCCGTTCTAGACGCGGATTTTCGTGCTACGATCAACAACTATGATTACGATCACTTATACCTACGAGTAAATAGTTAGGTGCACAAGTGCAATGTCACTCTCGAAAAACGAAACGAAATGCAGACACGCGCGCGCACGTGCGCGCCGTATTCGGTTATTGTACTACTTGTTGCCATAATACTCTTGAATGCGCTCGCTAAAATAAGGTATCCCCGCTTGCGATGTCGCTCCTGATGTATGTAGATTATTTATTTGATAACAACAACAACGGTAACGGTGACGTCTTATATTCAGATCTGTCTTTGGATATATATTGACGCATTTCGCAGGCGGTCGAAATCAGCGTTTCCCCAAGATCGTAAAAGATTATATCGACCCTTCGGAGATTATGTCGTATGGCATCGCGAACAAATAGGATAATGCGATAATATGGCGTGCAAATAAATAAGAAACGAGACCGGAGTGAATAGAAAATTAAAAAAATATTGTGTTCGCAATCTCCGAAAATAATATATGCAGTTCTCTCTTCGGTAAGATCGCGTCTCTACATCTGCGATTTCAATCGCTCCGAGGTTGGCTCTGAGAAACGCCTACGCTAAATTATAACGCGAATTTTTCCCGAGCGTTCGTATCAACAATAAGGAGGAATAACCGTAACAAATTAAACGAGATTCCAACAAGCTTAAACTACGATTAACTTATAACACAGGTATCGGCGAGTCTGGGAAATGCCCGGACCCGACTCTTAGGATCCACATTCTCAAAACTTAGCTTCCTCGTCTTCAAGGGACGCAAACGTGTGCCGCCTGATTTTACGCGGAGTCGAGAAACGCTGCTTTCGCGCTCTTTTATACAAAGACAATGTTTACACGAGGCCGGTAACAGAATTAACGGCTACTTTCCGGATGCTTCGCACCGCTAGATATATTCTTGTCTATGGTAAACATCTGGAGAAGTCAATGCGTAAAATGTAAAACCAGGTATTTGTGTATAAGGCACTGTCTATGCGCTGTCTCAACAGCTGAAGCTGAGGCTCGGTGTACATTTAGAAGCTTCATTATCAACGGCTACTCTCGGCAATGCTGAAATCTTACTTTACATTTCTCCCAATTTTAGAGAGGGCAGTCTTGTGCATGATCGCGAAATTGCGGATGAATTGAAAAATCACTCGAGAAGGGACGCGAAACGGTACCGGCAAAGGAAACGAGCTTTTCAGGTGTACACCGAGCCCGAGAGTCGTTCGCAAAGAAACTTCGGCACGTGGTGCACGTAAACGTGTAAACAGAGTCCGTGTAACGTGTCGGGGGTTGTGGCTGCAGAGAGAAAGAGAGAGAGAGAGAGAGAGAGAGAGAGAGAGAGAGAGATAGAAAGATAGGATCACGACGCTGCGAAGATGTCTTGTGAAGACATGACGCGGCCGCGAAGAGAGAGAGGCCCCCGGGGCGCGCTCGAGGAGTATAAAAAAATAACTTCGATCCGTCATAGAGACCTGTGTGAACGAGCGATAGAAAGATCTCGATAATCTAATGTTTCCGTTATAATAATGACTAGAATCCTTCAAGACCGCTGATTCTTGTTAATCCGGAGGGGAGACGACTCTAACTTTACGGGCTTTTACGTGAAAATACCGGGTCTCTCGCTCCACCGATGAGATCCTCGAGTCCCTTTCGCGAGGGACTCCTTCGCGATAAAACCAAGAAGTCCTCGTGGAGGAGGAGGTTCGGTGAATTCTTTTACCGGGGGGTCTAACGAGCGCGAGGATCCTCCTACTTAACGTAACGTAATTGTACTGAACTCTTCTTTCACGCGAGATCTTCCTCTTAGGTCCTCGTCGTCCGATAGAGCCGCCTCCGTTCATATCTGCGACGTATACGATACTCAGATCCTTAAACACGTATCACTTAATTCTCGCCTCTTAACGCGCCTAAGGCGCGAAGTCGCGCAAGTTCCGCTAACGTAAAACACAATCGCCAATTGCACACTCTTAGCGAAGTTAAATACGCGCGTACAGCGAAGCTAGACACATCAATTCACGCGCGGTAAACGCATCTAAACCGGGGCCGGTCGGCCGCGTGCGGATAACTTGCCGAGGCGGAGGGAGACGCGGGAGCGTCGCGGTCGCCTCTACGCAAAAAAAAAAATCAAATTTCGAAAAGCGCAGCTATATCCACTACCTTTCAGCAAAGTCGTACGGCACGTACGGAGCGTATCTAAGATACACCAGCGAGATACCTCAGAGCGATGTTCCACGTGGGCGAGGCTCGGTAGCGAATATTGGATCGCCGAAGCATTGCTGCCTGCACGCCCGGATACGCTCCATATATTTACGGCGGATGAACAGGATCGGCGAACCATGAGTTAGATCGAATCGCTCCGAATTCAAGAGGCCCCCCTCGCTCCAATTGCCCGCCGACGCACGCATCGCTCGCTTTTGGAGTCGAGGCCTCCCCGAAAGAATTTACCTCCGCACCTCGTTCTCGCGCGTGCGAATTTATTAATTTTGTTCCGACTCGCCCTCCAATTTCGTTCACCCGCCGTGTTTTACGCACCCGTTAAGATATAACGAGTGCGCGAATCGCCGACGATTCGGCGGCACTTCTCAGCGCGTTTAAATGCGTCAACGAAGATGCACGATTTTTAGATGCACGACTATATAAATATTTAGTACTCCAGTAGAAATCCGTTGCAATTAGAGCTTGGACTAAATTAAGGATGTACACGTCAGACGAAGCACATTGCCACTCATCGAGCCAGCTTGCTCTCGTAACAATAATCGAGTGCCGCTTAAACAATGTAAAAATTATTTAAAAAAAAAAGACTCCGCTTGAAAACACTTAATTTTTCGAGAGGAGGAGGCTGCAAGATCGAAATCCCGCATCGTACTTGTCACATCGCGTTTCGCTCGTGAACTACCTTTTCTACCACCTTGAGAAATAAACGCTATTGTTCAGCAACAACATTCGTATCAAATAAAAAAGAATCAATTAACATATCTTCAGGAGGGTGCGTACCCTCCGAGGTTCAACTCGCTCGCATGCATCGCGAGAAGAAATTAGCAAGCAAAGAGGCGCGTAAGTTTTCATCTGCGAGAGCCTCGCTCTCCAAACAATTACGTCCCTGAATAATTGTGAATGTGAACGGTCGTCATCTCAACACTATCGTCAAGTGCCCGCAATGCTCCTCGCAGTGCAGCTAACGCGAAATACGTCAGTTTACAATAAAAAATATAGACTTCTCTCTTCCTATTTCTAAAAAAAAAAAAACCAAAATGAACGTCTTTAACCACAAGTTGGCGGACACCTATCGCCGTGGACAGTGAAATTTAAATCAAGCTCGGGTTACTCAAGACCACGGCCGCGACAGAGAAATTCGAGAAACGTAGTGTTAAGATGACGAGAGATGCTGCGATCGGTACGGAGAAGCGAGCTCTCGCATCGGCGAACGCGCGAGATATCCGCGGCTGGGAGCGGAGCCCAGAAGCGATGCTCCGCTCGGGCGTTCAGTAAATGGTGAATCGCCAGGACGACCGATATCTATTATCTCAGAGAGAAGGAGAGATAGAGAGAGAGGGTGCGGTGCGTGTTGTGATCTACGAGTCCAATTCGCTTTTCGGGCTGCGCTGCCTGTGGATCGTTTTTTGCCAGGGTATTTGGTGTTTCAGGCGCATGTGACGCCGCAGGTCGGTTCTACGACTGAGAGTGGTGTGGCAGACGATGCAGGTAGTCTGGTTGCGATGCACTTCGAGGTGCTGGGTCAGCGAGGCAAGGTGCCTGTAAACGTTTCCGCAGAGTCGGCACGGAAAACGCCCCGGGCCCTGCATCACCACCTGACCAGTTGTATCGCCAACGTGCTTCCGATTGCGTCCCACCCCCCCTGCAACACATTAACACAGCCACGTGACCCGCCGGTTCCTCATCATCAATTATCAACGGGATCACAGTCAGTGGGGGAGATCACAGGCGGGGGAGAGAGGGCCGGAAGGGAACGGCGAAGGCTTGGGGAGGGGAAAGAGGGGACACGGTGGTGACACGTTAACACAGGCCATCCAATGCGAGGGGGATCGTCAGTCGATTACTAGTGAGGCTCGGATGACAACGTGTAGAGACCCCGGGCGTCAACTTTAACCCTTTATCCCGCGACTCGAGACGAATACCTCTCTCTCTCTCTCTGATAAGCCACCACTATCGCGAAATCCATAGTTACGTCGAGTAGTTTCTCTAGAGCTTGACTGTTGCTCGAGCTAACAAAATTATCCAATTATCCAGTTACAACAGGGAGAGAAGTCCCCTGCCAATTGTTATCGTAAAAGGGATGAGATAAACTTCGTATAAACGTATTTTACCGCGCTCCTTCCGATTTGCTGGCCCCGCGAGGGATCAAGGTGAAATTGCTCACGCAGGTAAAGGGTTAAAATTGCGCGATCGGTCGCTCCAATGTGTCGAGGAACGCGCGTTCAAATAAGTCGTTGGTTCATATACGTGTGGGGTCAACGTGCACTGTATTGGCCGATGTGTTAGCAGGCGCCGGGTAGGACGCCCCCGAAGAGCGCGCGATCGACTGATGATCCTCCTCGAAGTGTGTATTTGTGTGTGTGAACTACTCCCTTCGATCGGCTCCCACCGAGCTTAATTAATCGGGCCCACTGTGCCGATCGAATCCCGAGCGGATTCCGATCGGATTCAGTCACTATACACAGTAGTACAACAGTTAGACTGTCATGCACAATATCTTTCCTGTCAACTTCTTATTTCGGTTCCGGTCCTTGAAAGCAGTTACGGGCAAACAACCAATTACTTTCACGATTATTGCCACAAGTAATTAATGAAGTAATCACGATTGAAGTAATCAACATTTGCCGGATGTATAATTCGAAAAACACTGCCCCTCCTTTCATGCACAAAACCATCACTGGTTAAAGTATCAGATGAATTAGCAGTGTACTCTCACGAATAACATGTGAATTGTACAATACTTCTGCGTGACCTGATCGATCTAAAAGTTTTCGAATATATTAGAGCGTGCATTTACTTCATTAATATAATGATTACCTTACTTAATCGTCATAACAACTAATCACTAATTCGATTAACACGATTAGTTTTGTATAACTCATCGTTAATCAGATTACTTTCTGCCCGAGCCTTGCTCGACACATGTACGTCACAAATACACCAACACCGCCTAAGACATGTTAACAATTAACATTGTTATAATACATCGCAGACATACTGTAATAAATACGATTATAATTAAATATTTCACACGCCGGTGAACAACCGGCATGCTCGATGTGGCGATCGGCGTTGCTGGCCGAAGCACCGGCACAAGTTAGCACGCGTAAGTAGTAAAACTCGCTTCGGATTCACAACTGTAGCGGATTAGGCGAATTAGAAGGGTGCCTTGGTGCAGTGCTGCAGCTTGTCGTCTAGCCGACTGTGTCACTTCGACACGTGTGTGTGTGTTGCGTGAACGAAAGCGCAAAGCGGTCCATTCCAGTCATCGTTATTTATCGCGCGCGCGCGCGCGCGCGCACCTGTCGCGTGCAATTTGTGCATTGCGGGAAGTAAATTAATTAATTAAATCGAGGATGAACTCTCAAGCGATGCGGAACGCAACCGTGACGTCGCAAAGCCGGACGTTTTTTTTCTCGAGAAGGAAATAGGAGAGTCTCGCTTCTGTGAGTTGATACTTTTTCCAACTTTATTCACACATATGTCCACTTACATTATTTAGCCTGCATAAGCCAAACATAGGATTACGTAATGATATATTATATATATATTTTTTTTTTATACTTTATGTATACATATATATGTCTCATCTCTTTCTTTTAATAAATAATCAACTAAGGTAATATCAATTCGTCTAGGGCAATATTAATTGGCGGTGTTGTACTTATTTCGCATTCGTGGCTCTCCGAGGAATGTGCACATTCGCTTTCTCATCCGTAACAAAATAATATTTCGTCCTTTGCGTCACACGAGCGCGCGTACACGATCGTTCGCACGATTGTTTGGCGTGTACACGCGCGCAATTATGCCACACGCGTATGCATGTATGTACATACATACATATAAATAAATATATATAAATGTATAAATATATATGTATCATATATACATATATGTATATATAAATCTATAGCTTCTCGAAAGGATTTAAAACAAGTGACGCCGCGCGGGGTAACTTAAATAAAAGAGAATTTTACGTAAAAACATAAATTATAACGTTAACATAAATTAACAGCACACCCGAGCCGTTGTTCGTGCACGTGGCACCGTTTCTGTTTGGATATTGAAATGTATATGAAAATACGATTAATCCATGAAAAAAAAAAGATAATAAATTTATAAGAATATTATATTAATGCAGTTTGTTCGCAATAAAACTTAATTTTTCCTTCAAACTCCATGTCTCCCTTTCTTAATTTTCTCTATCTGTTAGAAATTAATTGGTAGAAAAATTTTTAGACATTAAAAGTAAGATATGACATATAATTTTTCGATGCCATTGTTCCTTACAGAAAATCCGACTTGAAACTCCTCGTGGAATCTGAAAGACGACTCGGTGCATCTAAAAATATTTTGCATAACTCAAGAGCTTTTACTGAACGCAACTTATAGATTGCGAAACACGAAATCCATCTCGTTCGTCACATTGCACCAATGCGTGAAAAAAAAAAGGCAAAGAAAACCAATCCACAAGCACTTGAACTAGATATAATTGCACCAAGTTGCATCCCCATTTGTAAACTAGCGTCAATTTGTACATTCCCACTTCGCTTTCAGAGATTCCGATGACCTTGGTCATCGATAATTATCGTTCTCGAGAAAGTGATCATAGTGTGGATAGACATAACCATTCTAAAACGACAAAATATAGCCTCTCTACGAAAGAATCTCTTGTACCATCGATAATCACCTCGTGATCGAAAACGAGCACTGCGCATTTCATCTCCCCTTCAACATACAACGTAAAGCTCTAACTTGCACCTATGCATACGATACTGTCCACAAATTCATAAAAAATAATTTACATTATATGTGCTCAATCGCTCAATCTTCTTCAATTGAATTGGAATAAGATCTATTATTAATTTAAATATAATTTTAACAATAGCCGTCTCTCTAAGGTTTGCGAATGTCTTTTATATCTTTTATATAAATTACAATACGAACGTGTACATATCTTTTTCAATAATCTGCTGTCGAATGATCTAAGTAGTCAATTTGTTCAGTACGGACAGTAAAATGCATAAATAAATAAATGATGAAGGAGTTGACCATCGATAAGCACCGAGACTCTGTAATGGCAAAGTGAAATGAGCTCGTTACACCGTTCGTTTGCATTTGTAATGCTGACGCGAAATCGGAGCTGATAAAAAAAAATAGAAACAAACAATAACGACAACAAAATAAACAAACGAAATATAATATGCTATAAGACACTAAGTTTACATCTGCGAAACTAAAGTAAAAAATAAGGATGTACCGTGTGTATATTAGATATTTGGCAAGTCTCCGAGACCTTAAAAACTAGTGCATGTGAGTATGCGTAATATCATGAACGTAGATTCGCGGTCTGGGACCGATAACGGAATCCGAGAAACGCATTGACTGACGGCGAAAAATTCAGCCGGTCATGATAAAACATGAAATTCGGCATATTGATACACGTAAAGTAATGGCACAGGGCAACTAATCGAATGTTAACTTGAAGCATTATTCTTCGATCATGGTAAAAATGCATCTGCAAATGTGTGTATTCTCTGTTGTCGCTCCTACTTGATACAATGTGCATGAATTGTATGAAAATGATATAATAATAAATATACGATAAAATAAGGATTTAGAAGCACTTTGCTTCTGCTTTCTCAATTTTTATCGATTCAGTTCTTGCAATAAAATCTAAGGCAAATAGATTACTCTAGCAATTTTACCACGATCGCGTGGATCACCAGTCCTCAATGAAAGTCGATCGTCGTCGAATTGGCGATTTAAACACAGCAAGATCCACATTACTGAATCGCATCGATCGCACGAAAAAAAAAAATGCACATTCCTCCTTATGCTATTAAGTACCGAACTTTCGAAGAAATTTGACTAGATAAAATAAATCGTTTCTGTTCTCCCTTCGTGTCTTTGGTTACAAAAAATGTATTCGTGTGTACGCATAGCCTACATATCTGTGTGTGTATGTCTGTACGTGTGTATAAATGTTTCGTGTTCCTTCTTATGTGCATTATACACATATAGATACATATATATACATATATATGTATGTGTACGAATGACTAGGTTGTGAAGTTCAAGACAGGCATAACATAAAATTCCTCGTCGACGACTAGAGCAGGATAGGCCCGACGCTCAACGACAAATAATAATTGCTACGGTCCTTGCACGCATCCCCTTCTTCGATTCAAATGAAAAATGCCATCGGCCGAAACGATTAAACTCGAAGGACGCGAAAAATATGGCACGCAAGCCGAGTTAAAAATTGACATATCCATCACTACGTTCGCGGATATATTCGGTCACATTGCAGTTATGATTAGCATTGATAATGAATGAAGTCTGCTATGGAAATCTTTGGCTTCCTCAAGTTAATTGCTGCACGAAAAACTGGTTCTTACGCTAATACCGATCCGTATACAAATTGCATTTGTGCTCATTAAATGTTTACCAAAAGATAAACAACGAACGGAAATTCTGCTCACAATTCGCTTTCATTTCGTGCAATCGAATCGCGACGACTTCATTATGACTGATCGCAGCTTCTTCCTTTCCACTTGCCGCATCGCAAAGTTCCATCGCGACGGACTATATGCTTGCCTTTCCTCTACCGCTTCGCCCAATCGTTATTATTTCGCTGCG